GGTTCAAACCCACTAGCCACTCCTCAGAAGGAAGGTTGGGCAATTTACTTCTGTAGTGATACCGCCTTGGAAACCCAAGGAGGGGTCGCTGTGATTCGGGTCTGACTCGACAGCACATAAGAACAACAACAGTATACCATAGGTTTAATTTGCTCTTCTCCTAGCTCCATAAAGTGAAAGCTGAGATCATTACTTTTATACCTATTTTCTTTTTTTCATGTAAGCATTTATGGTTACAAATTTCCTTTTAAGCATTGTTTTGTTGCATCTCACAAATTTTGATGTGTTGTTTTGCACTATTAATTGGTTTGGAATATTTTCTAATTTCTCTTGTATGAATTCTAATCATCTTTAAAAACTCAGTTTAAATCTTATTTCTTCCCTTTGCTGATGACCATAGCCTGTTCTTTGTTCTCCACTGCATTCATTACATATTTTCTCTGTATAGCTTTTTATTATATACTTTCTTACTCTCTAACCTTCCTTGCACATACATGTTTGTTTTATCCACGTCTTTTTTTTTTTTAGGGGTTGCTTTGCTTGGTGGTGGCTTTATTTTAAGGCTAGGCCCTGGGTAGGTGGGCGTGCAAATCAGAATGCTTTGCTTGGGGGCGGCTTTATTTTCAGGTTGGGCCCAGGTAGGCGGGCACACAGCTAGGGGCTGCTTCGCTTGGTGATGGCTTTATTTTAATGAAATTAAAAGTTGGTAGGTGGGTGTAGAGTGGTTAGGAACAACTAAAGGAGGCAAACTTGTCTGTCAGTTTGCCATCCTGTGGTGGCTTCTGTGTTGCTGTGAAGCTGGAGGCTATGCCACCAGTGTTGTGAAATGCCAGGATGGTCACCCATGGTGGACAGGTTTTAGCAGAGCTTCCAGGCTTGACTTGGAAGAAGGAAGAGGCCATCCACTTCTCAAACAATTGGCCAGTGAAAACCTTATGAATAGCAGTGACACACTGTCTGATACATTACTGGAAAACTTTATGAACAGCCCTGAAACATTGTCTGATACAGTGCTGGAAGATGAGGGAAATGCCAGCAGGGTTACCCATGGTGGACAGGTTTCAGGGGAACTTTCGGGTTAAGACAGACTTGGAAGAAGGAAGAGGCCATCCACGTCTCAAAGAATTAGCTAGTGAAAACCTTATGAATAATAGTGAAACACTGATACATTACTGGAAAACTTTATGAACAGCCCTGAAACAGTGTCCAATATAGTGCCAGAAGATGAGGCCATCAGGTCGGAAGACACTCAATATGACTGGGGAGAAACTGACTCTTCAGATTATAGACGACCTTAACGATATGGATGGAGTAAAGCTTTCAGGACCTCCATTGGCTGATGTAGCACAACTCAAAATGAGTAGAAGCAGATGCAGACATTCATTAAAAATCAGAACATGGACTGTATGAAATTTGAATCTAGGAAAATTGGAAGTTGTTAAAAATGAAATGGAACACATAAAGATTGATATCCTTGGCATTAGTGAGCTGAAATGGATCAGTTTTGGCCATTTTGAATCAGACAACCATATGATCTACCATGCTTGGAATGACAAATTGAAGAGGAATGGCATGGAATTCATCATCACAAAGAATGTTTCAAGATCTGTCCTGAAGTACATGCTGGCAGTGATAGGATAATATCCATATACCTACAAGGAAGGCCAGTTAATACTACTATTATTCAAATTTACAACCAACCACCAAAGCTAAAGATGAGGAAATTGAAGATTTTTTACCAACTTTTGCAATCTGAAATTGAGGGAACGTGCAATCAAGATGTGCTGATCATCACTGGTGATTGGAATGCAAAAGTTGGAAACAAAGAAGAATCAGCAGTAGTTGGAAAATTTGGCCTAGTAATAGAAATAATACTAGAGATTGCCCGATAGAATTTTGCAAGACCAATGACTTATTCATTGCAAATAACTTTTTTCAACAACACAAATGGTAGCTATACACGTGGACTTTGCCAGACAGAGTACACAAGAATCAGATTGACTACATGTGTGGCAAAAGGCAATGGAAAAGCTCAATATCTTCAGCCAAAACATGGCCAAAGAAGAGTTGATGCTTTTGAGTTTTGGTGTTGGAGAAGAACGCTAAGAGTACCTGGACTGCTAAAAGGACTAACAAATCTGTCCTGGAATAAGTGCAGCCAGGACACTCCTTGGAATTGAGAATGGCCAGACTTCATCTCACCTACTTTGGTGATGTTGTCAGAAGGAACCATTCCCTGAAGAAGGATATCATGCTTGGTAAAGTGGAGGGTCAACAAAGAAGGGGAAGGCCCTCAATGTGATGGATTGACAGAGTGGCTGCAATGATGGGCTCAGGTATAGCAAGGATTGTGAGGCTGGCACAGGACCGCTATGAGTTGGAGATGACTCAATGGCACCTAACAGCAACAACAACATGTCTTTTACTAAGTGGGTCATAAGCTCCTTGATTGTGCAGACTCTATTTTATGCTGGCTTTTTACCCTTTTGAGTACTTTGTATGTATTTGGTGCACAAAACAGCCCTTTCTCAAGCAGCCATTAACGTAGGAGCTACTAGGGTAATAAAGGATGGGCATAATCCAGATACCCATTAAGAAGTTAACTAGCATTTAAAAAGATGTTTATAATGATACAAGGAGTGTATACTAAGAGCCACACAAGAAGAATAAGCATTCAGCATTCCAGGCATTCTGAAGGAAAAGAGGGGACTATAGGATGGATTGTTTGAGGAGGATTTTAGAGAGGAAGTGGGATTTGAACTGGCCCTGAAGGAAAAATAGGATTTATGTGAAGAAGAAAGAGATGTCATTTTCACTGAGGGAAAAGTGTGTGGAAAAGTGGTGTAAAGCATGTGCGCCAGAAGGTATAAAATTGTCTGCAAAGGTGTAGAGATGCACACTGTCCATTCAGAGGACAGGAAGAGACCAATGTGGGAAAAGGTGAGAGAGAGAAGACAGGGGTATTGTGTAGAGGGCTCTGATTACCAAGACAAGGATGCTGGGGTTATAGATTTGGTGCACTCACTTCTGATGGCAGATCTGTGATGCCATCTTGGTGCATATGGCCTTGCACACTGGGACCATGCAGGCTTCTTTCTGATTGGCCTCCTGTGCTGACCTCAGCCAGTCAGCTTATCACCCATGTTCCCTAAGTAGCATGTGGAGTAATTTCCAGTCCAAATCCTCCTCCACTTTAAACTTGACCTAGGGAAATCTGTTTTCTCTTGGGAATTTCCTTTATGGGGGCCTATCTCACCCAGCCACTCCTCTGAAGCAGTATTTCTGGTTTTTCAAGGCTGATGGCTGGGAGACCTGGAAGCTTTGTTTCCAGAAAACTCTGGTCTCATTAATTTACCCTCCTTGTCTGCAGTGATTAAAGCATTCTGTTGTTAACCAAAAGGCTGGCAGTAGGAATCCACCAGCTGCTATGCAGGAGAAAGATATAGAAATCTGAAAGAATTACAGCCTTGGAAACCCTATTGGGGGCATTTCTACTCTGTCCTTTAGGGTTACAAAGAACTGGAAATGACTTGAAGGTAGTGGGTTTGGTTGGTTTTACGTGTCCAGCTCAAGAGTATCTACACTGTTAATTAAAAAAAATGGAAACTACCTTCTCCAAATAAGGATCATAAGATAGGGAAACAAAGCACCTTTTTCTGGAAGAACAAAGCATTTGTGTCTACAAATCAACTTCAACATTGGTACCCATTCACTCATTCATTCATTCACTCAAGAGTCTTTGTTTTTATTATTGTCTTCTGATGCATCTGGCTGGGAACACAGTAGGCATTTTCATTCTAACAAATCTTACTGCAGAACTTTGGTGTGCATAACATTCTCTCTCTCCCACTGCCAGTGAGTTGTTTCTGACTCATAGCGACCCCCATTGGGTTTCCAAGACTGTAAATCTCTACGCAACAGTCTGCTTCATCTTTCATCTGCAGAGCAGCTGGTGGGTTCGAACCACTGACCGGTTAGCAGCCAAATCCCTAACCACAACATCAGCAGAGTTCCTTGCGTAACACTGAACTATATTTTTTGGGGAAAGGGAGTACAGGGGTGGTTCAAGACTTGGAAGAAGCACCAGGGATTTGCATTAGAGTTGACTCAAAAAGGCTACTTACCTGAGTCCTACAAAACACCAAATAAGATGCGGGGTGCTTTGAGAATCCAGAGGAGGGAGTGTTAGGGTATCCAGAGAAGGCTTCCAGGATACTTGGGTTTGAGAGATGAAAACCAGCTGGATATGGATTGAAGAGGGGATAATGTAAACATTGTCTTAGAGTTACGCTGAGGACTGCATTTCAGGGGCAGTAAGAAGCCCACCTGGCTAAGGTGGAGGGTGTGTGTATGAGAGGCAACTGGAGAAAAGAGGCTCTGGTAGAGGCTGGTGCAATGAATGCTATGTTTCTTTACCGTTCCTAAGTCTAAATTTATACTCAGCAATAGCCACAAAACAAAGATTTAAACTTGTTTCTAACATAGATTTATTTATATGCTCACAGGGATTTATGATGAGTATATAAACCTGTTTTTAAAAATGCAGTGTGAGCTATGGCCAGCTAAATGTCTAAATGCCTTGTGGAAACCGGCTTCAGGGCTTGGTCCTGTTGGGTCTCTCTAGGACGCTGCCTGCTTAGACAGGCCATGATGAGTGGCAGCAAACAGAAGGGAGAAAGCCAGCCTTTCCAGTGTCCAGGGCTGGGCAGAGAGGTATCCTGAGGAGAGCCCCCACCCACAACTGCAGAGCCACGTGTCTTTCTGCAGACTGAGGGGGTGGGGGGATGGGGAAGCAGCAGCCGGGAAGGAATGGTCCACTTGGTCCACACTGTTGTTGTTGTTGTTGTTGTGATAGCGACCCCTCCTTGGGTTTCCGAGGCAGCATCACTATGGAAGTAGATTGCCCCATCTTCCTTCCGAGGAGTGGCTGGTGGGTTTGAACTGCCAGCCTTCTGGTTAGCAGTCAAGTGCTTTAGGCACTATGCTACCAGAGCTCCTTGCTCCACACTAGGTGTATGGAAGTTCAGAGCTGCTCAGGGCACAACTGAAGGCAGCCTGATCTACCTTCTTAAAGGATGGGAGTCTAGATCAGGCAATGTTGTTGCTGTTGTTAGGTGTCATGAAGCTGGTTCTGACTCACAGTGGCCCTGTGTACAACAGAATGAAACACTACCCAGCCCTGCACTATTCCTGCAATCGTTGCCATGCTTGAGCCCATTGTTGCAGCCACTGTGTCAGTCTGTCTTGCTGAGGGTTTTCCCCTTTTTCACTGACCCACTGCTTTACCAAGCATGATATCCTTCTCTAGGGAATAGTTCCTTCTGACAACATGACCAAAGTATGAGAGACAAAGTCTGGCCATTTTCACTTCTAAGAAGCAATTTGTTCTAAAATCGAAGACAAATTTGTTCATTCTTTTAGCAGTCCATGGTACATTCAATATTCTTCACTAGTACCACAATTCAAATGCATCAGTTCTTTGGTCTTCCTTATTCATTGTCCAACTCTCAAATGCATATGTTGTTGTTGTTAGGTGCCATCGAGTCATCTTCGACTCATAGTGACCCGATGCACAGCAGAATGAAACACCGCCCACTCCTGTGCCAGCTCCATGATCCCTGCTATACTTGAGCCCATCGCCGCAGCTACTGTGTCAGTCCATCTCGTTGAGGGCCTTCCCCTCTTTCATTGACCCTCCACCTTACCAAGCATGACATCCTTCTTCAGGGAATGGTCCCTTCTGACAACATGACCAAAGTAGGTGAAATGAAGTCTGGTCATTCTCACTTCCAAGGAGCATTCTGGCTGCACTTTGTCCAGGATAGATTTGTTAGTTCTTTTAGTAGTTCATGGTACTTTCAGCATTCTTCACCAGCACCACAACTCAAAAGCATCAATTCTTCTTTGGTCTTCTTTATTCATTGTCCAGCTCTCACATGCATATGAGGCTATTGAAAATATCATAGCTTGTGTCAGGTGTACCCTAGTCCTCAAGGAGAAATCTTTGCTCTTCAGCACTTGAAAGAGGTCTTTTGCAGCCAACTTGCCTAGTGCTATATGTCATCTGATGTCCTGACTACTGCTTCCATTGGTGTTGATTGTAGAACCAAGCAATGTGAAGTCTTTGACAACTTCAATCTTTTCTCCACTTATCGTGATGCTGCTTACAGGTCCAGTTGGGAGGATTTTTGTTTTCTTTATATTGAGATGTAATCCATACTGCAGACTGTATTCTTGAATCTTAATCAGTAAGTGCTTCAAGTCATCCTCACTTTCAGTAGGCAAAATTGTGTCATCAGTGTATCGCAGGTTGTTAATGATCCTTCCTCCAACCTTGATGCCACATTCTTCTTCATATAGTCCAGCTTCTTGGATTATTTACTCAGTGTATAGATTGAATAAGTATGGTGAAAAGACACAACCCTGACACACTCCCTTCTTGACTCTAAACCATGCAGTGTCCCCTTGTTCTGTTCGAATGACAGCCTCCTGGTCTATGTACAGGTTCCTCATGAGTACATTTAAATGTTCTGGAATTCCCATTTTTCTCAACGTTATCCATGATTTGTTATGATCCACACAATCAAATACTTTTGCATAGTCAATAAAACACAAGTAAACATCTTTCTGGAATTCTTTGCTTTGAGCCAAGATCCATCTGACATCAGCAATGATATCCCTTGTTCCATGTCCTCTTCTGAATC